AGAAAGCGAGAGCACAAGCGGGGGGAAGGTCAGAGGCAGAAGGAGAAGCAGACTCCCCCCTGAGCAAGGACCCAGACACGGGACTCGATCCCAGAACCCCGGGATCACGACCTCAGCTGAAGGCAGATGCTTAACTGAGTCACCCAGGCGTCCCTTACAAATGTTTTAATGGCTAAATAATCCTCTACTGTATGACTGTGCCATAAACCTATTTTAAAAAACCCCTGCTAAATGTTTAATTGGCTGAATCATTCATTAGTATAAATAATGCCAACAAACCCTAGAGTTAAAACCATTCCTTTCCCTCTTTCCTTATAGATAAGGTTAAGTGGTGTGACCTGCCCACTGTTACAATGTAGCAAAGCAGAGGCTGCCCTTGAACCATGGGTCCTTCGTTCCTTCCCAAATCCATAACAGAGACCTCCTCTGAGGAGTTTCCACCTCAACCACCCAAAAAAGGGACTGGGGATTTTTTCTTCACACCCTCCTGAACCGTTCGAACTTTATAATTTATGACCATGTTGTATCCGTTTCTCCCCAGATGAGGACAGGCTCTGAATGGCTCCTGAAACAAGTGTAGCTGGAAGGCATTAAAAGAACTAGAACCGGGGCGCCTGGCTGGCTCAGTCGGTTAAGTAGCTGCCTTCAGCTCAGGTCCCAATCCCAGGGTCCTGGATCAAGCCCCACGTGGGGCTACCTGCTCATCGGAGCACCTGCTTCTCCCTCTCCCTCTGCCTCTCCCCCTGCTCATGCTCTCTCGCAAATAAATTAATCTTTAAAATAAATAAACGAATAACTAGAATTAACTCTTGACAAACAGCAGTCTTCATCTTCGAAGACATTACCTCTGTGGCGTTAAAAATCCTGGGGAAAATCATCTTGGCAGCCCAAGAGAGCACCATGGTAATACAGCAAATTGGTATTAACCAATATTCCCAAAAGGATTTAAGTTTATTAATGATTTTCAGTCTACTCGTGATTTATTTTCTGCCCAGAATACACAGACCTAATATACGTGAAAATCTCTAGCTATCAATTAAATGGGTCTGTGTTACCGCAGCATATGTAACCGGGGTTAGTTATCACAGCTTATGTACACACACCAAAAATCCTGCTCACTCCTGACCTGCCCCTGTGTTAGGTTCAAGATCAATCACTTCAGTTCAAAAAGAAATACATCTGTAAAGAGCAGCTGCATCTGGAGACTTCCTTGGTCTTGTATGAAGTGCCTGGGCCTAAGAGCTACACTGCTTGCTCCCCAAATGGGGCGCCTGGGTGGCACAGTCAGGTAAGCACCAGACTCTTGATTTCGGCTCAGTCACAATCTCAGGGTTGTGAGATCGGGCCTCATTTGAGCTCCGCACTCAATGGGGAGTCTGCTTCTCTCTCTCTCCCCCTCTGCCCCTCCCCCTGCTCATGCATGTGCCCCCCCAACAAATAAATAAAATCTTAAAAAAAAAAAAAAACACCACCATTACAAAATGGGGAAGGTGAACCCTGTTGAACTCCCATAGACCAACTAGTGAAAGGCTGGATGGCTTTGGGAAAGGCAAAGTGAGTGGATGAAAAAAGCAGGGAGCAAAGAGAACCATGTGAAGTAGCTCCGGACAAGACAGGTCTCATAATGCTTGCAATTCTAATGAAACGACCTAGGGCAGTAACTGATGACTTGAGTATAGAATAGCAGGCAAGTACTAGATGTCCCGCTTTTTTTCACACCAGAAAGTTTCCTGTTCTTCCAAGAACCTCAACCTTTACTGAAAAGGTTGGCAGTGGATGGGGTGATGACCATCCCATCTACTTCCTCCTTGAGGAGTTTAATTCCCCCAATCTGGGAAACAATGAAGCAGACAGGCACTGTGGAGTTATGGTCACCCTCCCTTCTCAGTGAGAATGTTTATACTGTCTGTTCATCAGAAGAGTAAAAATATAGAGTGCCTGGGTAGCTCAGTCGGTGAAGCATCTGCCTTCAGCTCAGGTCATGATCCCAGGGTCCAGGGATGGAGCCCCACGTCGGGCTCCTTGCTCAGTGGGGAGCCTGCTTCTCCCTCTCCCACTCCCCCTGCTTGTGCACACGCACGCACCCTCTCTCTCTCTCAAATAAAATCTTAAAAAAAAATTCACCCAATTTTTGAGTATAAACTCAAGAAATTGTTTTCCTTGCAAATAAAACATCTTTCAATTTTATACAGACAACCGAAAACGGCCCTGGCTGTGAGAGGGGAACACACTAGGCGAAAACTGGCCTTCTTGAGTCCCACCCCCCCTACCCTCCAATACCCTTACCTCTTGGGCAGGTGAGCAAAGGGGTCCTTGGCCTTCGGCTCAGCAGCCAGTGCCTGCTCACATTCATCCATCTCCTCCTCAGGAGCAGGGGCAGCAGCCTTTTTCTCCTCTTTCCTCTCAGCCTGGGGCTTCTGCTTCTCTTCCCGAGAACCCTTCTCTTTCCGTGGGGTGTCCTTTTTAGGCTGGCTCTCTGCAAACTTTTTAGC